CAATGTTCCTAATTTTAGCAATGTTTCTTAGGTGGAAGTAAGCTGATGATGTCACAGATGATATGTGGCTATTGAAATTTAAGTCTGAGTCCATTATTACTCCTAGATTTCTGACCTGAGTTGAGGGTTTTAGGGAGAGAGACTGGAGGTGGCAGATAACGCTCTCTCTTTGTTTTTGAGGTCCGAAAACAATAATTTCAGTTTTTTCTGTGTTTAGCTGGAGAAAGTTATTTTGCATCCAATCACTGATTTGTTGGATACAGTGAAGGAGCGAGTCCACTGGTCCATGTTCTCCTGCTGTCAGGGACACATAGACCTGAGTATCGTCAGCATAATTGTGATAGGACACGTTATTACTGTGTATTAACCTACCCAGAGGCAGCATGTAAATATTAAACAGGAGAGGCCCCAGGATTGATCCCTGTGGCACTCCGCAGGTTAGGGCCAGATGGTCTGAGATACAGTTTCCGATCTCCACAAAATACTTTCTGTCCTGTAGGTAGGATATAAACCAGCTTAGGGCTGTTCCAGAAACACCAACCCAGTCCTCAAGTCTCTGAATGAGGATACCATGATCGACAGTGTCGAAAGCAGCACTTAAATCTAACAGGATAAGAACTGAGACTTTTCCTGCGTCAGTGTTAAGTCTGATGTCATTTGTTACCTTCACTAGAGCGGTCTCTGTGCTGTGGTGGGGTCTAAAACCAGACTGGAACATATCAAAAGAGTGATTGATTATTAAAAATTCTGTAAGTTGTTGATAGACAACTTTTTCTAGAATTTTACCCATGAAAGGCAGATTTGAAATGGGCCGATAATTTTTAAGTGCCAAGGCATCCAGACTCCTCTTTTTTAGGAGGGGTCTGATGACTGCCGTTTTCAGGGCCATTGGGAATGTTCCAGATTCAAGAGACATATTTACTATATGCGTGAGTGAAGGTAAAAGACTGCTCAGAACAGATTTAAGAAATCTAGGAGGTAATACATCCAGGCTACATGTAGAAGAACTCAGACTTGTAATTATCATTTGGACAGTTTCATTTTGTACTGGTGTAAAGTGTGTCAGCCCAAAAAGCTTCACTGGCTGTTGGATTGTAATTTCTACTGTGGAGGTGATGGCATTTTTGATGCCTTGGACTTTGTCATTAAAAAACTCTGCAAACTCATTACATTTGGTTTTGGAGGTAAGCTCTGATGGCATCTTAACAGGGGGATTTGTCAATTTATTTACTGTTGAGAACAGAACGCGTAGATTGTTACTGCAACCTTCGATTGTTTCGGAAAAATAAGTTTCCCTCGTTCTACGTAGCACACTGTTGAACTTGCACAATGCATCTTTGAAGATCTCATGGTCAACTTGGAGATTTGACTTTCGCCACTTCCGCTCGGCTCTCCGGCACTCTCTCTTCTGTGCCCTGACAGAGTCCGGTTTTGTCCATGGCGCCTTTTGCTTATTTGTAACAATTTTGACCTTTACAGGAGCAATCGTGTCCAGAACATCCAAAACACTAGAGGTGACAGAGTTAAGTAATTCATCCACAGTAGAACACAACGTGTTATCAAAGTTTATCATCCCCATGAAAAGTTCACCTGTATTTTTGTTTATGTGTCTTCTTCTTCTAACAATTGAGGATTCAGCTCGTGCTTTACTATTGAGACACATATCAAAAAATACACAGAAATGATCTGACAGAGCAACATTGGCCACATTTACATTTGAGATATTAACCCCTTTAGTAATTAGCAGATCGAGAGTGTGTCCTCTGCTATGGGTGGGGCCACTCACATGCTGAGTGAGACCAAAGGTCTCCAGCACAGAGCTCAGCTCTTTCGCGTATCTATCATCAACGTTATCTACATGTATATTAAAATCACCTATGACGACTAAACTATCAAAGTCTGTGCACACAACTGAAAGCAACTCGGTGAAATGATCAGTGAAACTATGACATGACTGTGGCGGCTTGTACACAACAATAATAAGAATAGAAGATTGTTTTTGTTCTATTTTAAAAGAGACATACTCAAATGAGGAAAATTTCCCAAGAGGTACTCTATGGGAGACAATACAATCTTTAAAAACTGCTGCTGTGCCTCCTCCTCTTTTATTTTCTCGAATTTCTGATTCAAATTTGAAATTTGGTGGTGTTGTTTCTATTAAGACTGCATTTTCTGTATTATGGTCAAGCCAAGTTTCAGTCATAAACATAAAGTCAAGATCATAAGAACAGATAAAATTATTAATTAAAAAGGATTTATTGCATAGTGATCTGACATTAAGCAGAGCAAGGTTAAAAATAATATCAGTGTCAGTGGGTTTAGTTGATTGACTACAAAGAATTGGAATTAGATTTCCTGAGTTGGACCGTCTAACTGCTGTCCTTCTGTTATATTTGTGTTTATTCAAATTAAAACACATTTCTGAGCCGGTGCGAGGAACACACACAGTCTCTATTGGTTTAAGAAGTGAACTCTGTTTTACTTTGTTAAGTTCCAGATGCATGACTGAGTAAGTGCCGTTCAGTGGCAGGACTGGTATTACACTGCCAGACGGACAGGGGTCAGTGTTTGCACCACAGTACTCACCCGGTGCTGGAGTGGAGGAGGAAGGTGGTAGTGGGGGCCGAGGGGCCTCGGATGTAAACAGTCACGCCCCCCTCGGGGAGCACTGAACAACATGGCGTAAAAAGTCCATCAATAAACTGGTACCGTATCTGTTCGGGTGCAGACCGTCTGGACGATAGGCCACGTGACGCTTCCAGAACAGGCCAAAGTTGTTCACAAAAACAAAGTTAAAAGTGCTGCATGCAGACTGGAGCCACATATTCAGCGCCACAACGCGACTGTACAAGCAGTCTCCCCGGTTTATCTACAATACACACAGTTTTCACCTCATATTATAACACAAATGGGAACACTGAAAAATGGTAAGTAAGATACTTTGATACTTTGGAATCAGGAATGTCGGGAGACATATAACACAGCTTATAAACTTTTAAAATTGTATGCATTTTATCATGTTACATAACCACATATGAAAATATCCAATACATATTTACTTGGAAATTAACTCTAAATTCAGAAAATGTAACATGAGGGGACCACTCTCACTCAGCCAATCAGCTCTCAGCTCTACATCCCTGAATACTACAAAAGATAACACGTTTACAATGAGTTACAGGCGGCAAGAATACAGTACCTTGCGAAAGTATTCGGCCCCCTTGAACCTTGCAACATTTCGCCACATTTCAGGCTTCAAACAAAGATATAATTTTTTTTTGTCAAGAATCAACAACAAGTGGGACACAATCGGGAAGTGGAACGAAATGTATTGGATAATTTAAACTTTTTTAACAAATAAAAAACTGAAAAGTGGGGCGTGCAATATTATTCGGCCCCCTTGCGCTAATACTTTGTGGCGCCACCTTTTGCTGCAATTACAGCTGCAAGTCGCTTGGGGTTTGTCTCTATCAGTTTTGCACATCGAGAGACTGGAATTCTTTCCCATTCTTCCTTGCAAAACAGCTCGAGCTCAGTGAGGTTGGATGGAGAGCGTTTGTGAACAGCAGTCTTCAGCTCTTTCCACAGATTCTCGATTGGATTCAGGTCTGGACTTTGACTTGGCCATTCTAACATCTGGATACGTCTATTTGTGAACCATTCCATTGTAGATTTGGCTTTATGTTTTGGATCATTGTCCTGTTGGAAGATAAATCTCCGTCCCAGTCTCAGGTCTTTTGCAAACTCCAACAGGTTTTCTTCCAGAATGGTCCTGTATTTGGCTCCATCCATCTTCCCATCAATTTTAGCCATCTGCCCTGTCCCTGCTGAAGAAAAGCAGGCCCAAACCATGATGCTGCCACCACCATGTTTGACAGTGGGGATGGTGTGTTCAGGGTGATGAGCTGTGTTGCTTTTACACCAAACATATCGTTTTGCATTGTGGCCAAAAAGTTCGATTTTGGTTTCATCTGACCAGAGCTCCTTCTTCCACATGTTTGGTGTGTCTCCCAGGTGGCTTGTGGCAAACTTTAAACGAGACTTTTTATAGATATCTTTGAGAAATGGCTTTCTTCTTGCCACTCTTCCATAAAGGCCAGATTTGTGCAGTGCACGACTGATTGTTGTCCTATGGACAGACTCTCCCACCTCAGCTGTAGTTATCTGCAGTTCATCCAGAGTGATCATGGGCCTCTTGACTGCATCTCTGATCAGTCTTCTCCTTGTTTGAGATGAAAGTTTGGAGGGACGGCCGGGTCTTGGTAGATTTGCAGTGGTCTGATACTCCTTCCATTTCAATATAATTGCTTGCACAGTGCTCCTTGAGATGTTTAAAGCTTGGGAAATCTTTTTGTATCCAAATCCGGCTTTAAACTTCTCCACAACAGTATCTCGGACCTGCCTGGTTTGTTCCTTTGTCTTCATGGTTCTCTCTGCGCTTTAAACAGAACCCTGAGACTATCAAAGAGCAGGTGCATTTATACGGAGACTTGATTACACACAGGTGCATTCTATTTATCATCATCAGTCATTTAGGACAACATTGGATCATTCAAAGATCCTCACTGAACTTCTGGAGTGAGTTTGCTGCACTGAAAGTAAAGGGGCCGAATAATATTGCACGCCCCACTTTTCAGTTTTTTATTTGTTAAAAAAGTTTGAATCATCCAATACATTTTGTTCCACTTCACGATTGTGTCCCACTTGTTGTTGATTCATGACAAAAAATTTAAATTTTATATCTTCATGTTTGAAGCCTGAAATGTGGCGAAATTTTGAAAGGTTCAAGGGGGCAGAATACTTTCGCACTGTATTTTGACTTCTTTAACAATATTTATGAAAGAAGTCATGTTGGTACACCAGCTCTAATTATAAGAACTTGGGCCACTTGTGCCCTCTCCTCTTGTTTCTCATCAGCAACAACATTTTTATCTGTGCTCATTCGTTCATGTCTTTGTATTCATCACAATAAAGTCTGAGACTGCAGCTGTTGTGGAAACATGCACATGGATGTAACACTGAAAGAGTCAACAAATCAGACATGTAAAGGACAAACTTCTGCACTATATTTCCCGGCCTGCACACACTCCTCTCCATCGCACACGCTCCTGCCCGTCACACACACTCCTCTCCATCGCACACGCTCCTGCCCGTCACACACACTCCTCTCCATCGCACACGCTCCTGCCCGTCACACACACTCCTCTCCATCGCACACGCTCCTGCCCGTCACACACACTCCTCTCCATCGCACACGCTCCTGCCCGTCACACACACTCCTCTCCATCGCACACGCTCCTGCCCGTCACACACACTCCTCTCCATCGCACACGCTCCTGCCCGTCACACACACTCCTCTCCGTCGCACACGCTCCTGCCCGTCACACACACTCCTCTTCGTCGCACACGCTCCTGCCCGTCACACACACTCCTCTCCATCGCACACGCTCCTGCCCGTCACACACACTCCTCTCCATCGCACACGCTCCTGCCCGTCACACACACTCCTCTCCATCGCACACGCTCCTGCCCGTCACACACACTCCTCTCCATCGCACACGCTCCTGCCCGTCACACACACTCCTCTCCATCGCACACGCTCCTGCCCGTCACACACACTCCTCTCCATCGCACACGCTCCTGCCCGTCACACACACTCCTCTCCGTCGCACACGCTCCTGCCCGTCACACACACTCCTCTCCATCGCACACGCTCCTGCCCGTCACACACACTCCTCTCCATCGCACACGCTCCTGCCCGTCACACACACTCCTCTCCGTCGCACACGCTCCTGCCCGTCACACACACTCCTCTCCGTCGCACACGCTCCTGCCCGTCACACACACTCCTCTTCGTCGCACACGCTCCTGCCCGTCACACACACTCCTCTCCGTCGCACACGCTCCTGCCCGTCACACACACTCCTCTCCGTCGCACACGCTCCTGCCCGTCACACACACTCCTCTTCGTCGCACACGCCTGTGGCTTTGGTCCAGACGCTCTCCTCACAGATCGCTCCATCTCGGGGGGTGCTGCTTCCCTCCTCACGGGGCCCGTGCTTCTTCCACACTCAGCCGCACAGTTTCCATAGTTTCAATCACACTCCATCACAGAGTTCATCACTTTTGTGTTAGTTTGATTTTTGTCAGAAATGCATGATGTCCAGGACGTCACACGAAGGTGCAGCGCTGAGGCTCTGTGGTTTTTCAACTCTCCAGTCAGGCTCCTGTAGATAAGATGCATTGAAATAATACATAAACAAAACTACATCAGTAAAAAATATTTTTTATTTTCCTGAAAATAATATTATTTTGTTGAGGACAAAGAAGCCGTTGCCAAAAGCCGAAAGAGCCACATACGGCTCCAGAGCTGTCGGTTGCTGACCCTTGCGCCAGCTTATTGAAGCCAATTATAGGGACATGCAGAGTGGATACTTTGCTCCAACTCTTTCTGGATAAGTGCGGTTTGATATTCTGACGTCTTTTGCTTCTTAACCGCACTCATTGACGAATACTCTTTTTTCACCGTTTGTGCAGAGGCATACAGTATGTTTTAAGACCTTCTTGTTCCTTGGTGCACACACAAAACAGACCCACTGAGACTGTGAGCGAGAAGATATTGTGAGACATGAATAATTAATTAAATTGTGTATGCAAACGCCCCCACTCCAACGCCTATATGCCACCAGCTCCATTCTCATCCTCTAACTCTGCCGCCGCACACTCCCAAGCTTCCAGATGAATTAAACACTTTCAAGTGGACATAACATGCAAATCTGACTTTTCAAAGTGCGTTTGTCCTCATCATTTACACACTCAAAGTAGTTTTTGGAATGATTCATGCATATTTGAGTCATCCATATTCTTTTATTGTAAAGACACCACAGTTTTCCCCATATCTGCAATACACTGTAAAAACCCTAACTCTAACCATGTAAATATTATTACCATAAGAATGATCACTTGCAATCAGTTCATCATGAGAATTTCAGAGCCTAAGATAAACCACAGAAATGTTTCACAAGGGGCAGCATGAAGTCAGACTGCGCCGAGAAGTGCATGTGTGCTAAAACACAACAATAAATCTTCTTATTTAGGAATGCTGACAAGAATTTTTCATAATTTTACAGACAGTTTGCTTTGCGATGCATTGAGGTTCCTGAATCACTTTACCATCCTGCAGTAAATAATATCTCCATTTCTCTTCAGCGTTCGTACGGCCATTAAAGCATGAATAGCTTCTCTGCCATGTTAAAGCGCAGGAGATGTAGCGGCTGTGTAATTTGTTTCTTTCTCAAAGGCCTCGTTAATGGGACGTCCTGACAGCTGCGTTGTAATAACTCTTCTGCTGAGATGATGTGCTGAGGGTCAGACTCAGAGGGTCCAGATTCATGGCATTCAGTAACATCGCCTCTGTACGTTAAGATTAGGTGTACGTGTGTTAAAGGAGACAGATAACGCAAAATCTACAACATTATCTCATCAAAAACACACATGCAGCTGTTTTTTTGATCCATGCTAATATGAGTGACTTCTGCCAGAAAGCTCCTGTCGCAGTTCTGTGATAGTATGATGACACTGTACCGCTATGACATCCAGCTCAGAGCAGTTTTCAGCCTTTTTCAAAACAAAAGTGTCACAAGCTGGCTCTATTATTTGGCAAAATGAGGGACAGACAGGTATGGGTATTTTACATTAATGAATACATCGAAACAGATAAAAAATAAAGAATGAGGTGTGAGTATGTAAGGGATTGAATGTGTGCAGTGAGTGCAAGTCAGTGAATGAAAACCAGTGTATGTGTGTATATGTCTGAGTGTGGAACCAAAGCTAATCTTAACCAAAACGACAAAAGAAACAATGATCCAGTACCTGGAGGGAGCAGAGTAGAGAGTCAGGAGTTGGTTAGAGACACATGTTTATACACAGGTGTGTCCAGTCACTGGGTCGTCCCTGTCTGAAAGGGAACCGCCCCTAAAAAAAGTATAGCTCATATGTTAGTTTTGACAAGTTAACAAGTGAAAAGAGGTTCTGGACATTCCCGATCTGATCACTGGTCATTTTTATTTTGGAAAAAATAAATCAAATGAATTTATCCCCCTGGTGGTAGCATAGGGAGTTACAGTCTGTAAGGTGGAACGTTACAGGTGGAAAGCATTTTTTGTCCTCCATTCTTTTGTCCCCCTATTTTGTGTCTGTCCTTTATTGAAGCTGACACATGTCACAAGGATGCATGCAAAAGAAAGTGTACGAGGAAACAGAACAAGTGTTTCAAATCCAGTTGGAACACAAATTGCTTGTTTAAGTTTTTGGATAATGAATTAAAACACACTAAAAACCTGACTTTTTGTGAACGGTCCATAAAACGGGTAAACAGAGATCACCAACATGTAAAAAGTACATTAGACATTTATAGTAATTTCAGCAAAAAATAAAATCCATTGCTACCTCCACGTCTCTTTTCTCGAACGCTGATTCAGTCCACATCACATTTAGCAGCATTGGCACCAATTGGTTTGATACAACAATAACAATGAGGCTAGACAATCTCCCTGCCAACAGAATTATTCATTTTCCAAACTTATTATTGACTCAACAAATGTATGACTCACAAAAGGCACAACATTTACAAATACGCTCAAGCAACAAATGAAAACAGCTTCAGTCCCAGCTGAAGTCCTGCAACATAAATATCCAAGCATGGGATGGCAACTCACTGGAAAATAAATGTTTTCTTGTGTACGGAACAAAGAGCCTTGTGAGTCACTATTTGACTCTTTGGGCTGAGAGCTGATCGTTCCATTCCTTTTCACTTTTCTGTCTAAAAAAGGCCAAAATAATACATTCCTGCGAGAACTAGTGACGGAACCAAAATGTTTTGGGACTAGACAGGAACATTTTTGTTTTGCTTGGGATCTGTGGCAAGCAATCCATTTCATGTCCTCTCAAACAATAGGTCAGATTATTGCTCATAGTAAGTAAGTAATCTTTAAATTTATCGCACATTGTTACCGACCACGGACACCCAAAGCGCTCTACAGAGTTCAGGTTTTGTTCCATTCTCTCCACACAGAGACGTTTATACCCATCGTGCATGTTTTTAGTGGAAAGAGAAAACCAGAGGAAACCTACGTAGACACGGGGAGAACATGCAAACTCCACTCAGAAAGTCCCAGTTCAAACCGGGATTCGACCCCAGGACAACCCAGTCGCTTATGATGCAATGAGAGGATTTTGAAATGTTGCGGTTACAAATCACAAGAAAAAGGAGGAAGTAAGGAGCGGGGCCAGTATGTGATGTTAAATTTAGTTTTGTTGTTTTGTTATAACATATGATCGGTGTATTTGTACAGTGTTAATATGATGCATGTACTGTAAAACTCTAAAAAACTAATACATTGAAAGAAAAAGAATTTTGAAACAAGCCAGACGGTTCCTTTTCTTGGAATGACAACAGTATTACATATTGAAATGAGCTTTTTCTGTCTGCCTGCACAGACCTTGCCATCTTGTTGAATGTGTGTAGGATACATTCGCACGTCAGATGGCCTGTCACCTCAGCCCATACATTATCACTGCCTGAATTGGCGGCCTTCATAACCACGCTCCAGTTGCAGCTTTCATGGCCACTCTGGGAAATGCACATGTCATTTATATTCAGTACAAATGTCACCATGCGATCTGTGATTCTGCCTGACCTCTTGGAGAAGGGCTGTGCTCTATGGGCCTTCTTTGTCAAACAGTGGAGTCCAAAGTTCAAGAGATTCAAGATTAATTTTTGGGCGTACCTAAACACACTTATGAAATTAAGAATACTACAGTACAAAAAGTGAGGAAAAATAAGTCAGAAATTGCTGAAATGTGGCATACATGTATGTATGTAATTGTTTTGAACATTTTGACTGCCTTAAAACAAGATCATACAAATCTATCTAATGATACAAGAAATGTCTCTCAGTTCTTCAGAATGTACTCAGATTAACTCACTGACTGCCAGGCATTTTCAGATTTGAGAAGTGCATTCTGCCAGCAATTTCAGGTGATTTGACCCAACTTTGAAGTGCCACAGAATATTCATTTTTTAGATGATGTAAACACCAAGGGCACCAAATTAAAGATTCACCTCTCTGCTTTACTCTGAAAAAAAACAGTTTGTTTCTACCTCTTACCGTTCTTGCGTTATTTGCCATAGAACAAAGCATACTTTCACCCATAACACCTGGTCTGAGCAAGAAAACAGAGAAAACGAGCTGTATGTAAACAGGAACATATCAAGCAGAAAAGAGACTTTAGATGCATTTTTGCTGCTTTAGTGACAACTCAAAACATCTTCACACTTGTTCCATTACAAAAATTATAAAAACATGACTCTGAAATAATACTTTTGATGGCAAATTGTTGGCAATTTATTCACAGATAGAAAATTTAACTTTCTTCTATACCATCAACCAAAACGTCAAACAACAACAACACAAAGATCAATAAAACTTATAGATGTATAAAATAGAATGAAGCATGTGAATTTGAGTGTGTGTGTGTGAATGTCAGTGTGCGAGTGAGTGTCTGTGTGAGTGAGTGTCTGTGTGTGTGAATGTCAGTGTGCGAGTGAGTGTCTGTGTGCGTGAGTGAGTGAGTGAGTGCGTGTGAGTGTTTGTGAGTGTGTCCGATAAATCATGATCAGGTTTGCTGAACGAATCCGAGGCATCAGTAACAACAGCAGCTGATACGCTGCGAGAGGCGGAAGGTGTGTCTCTGCTCGGGGCTCTTGCTCCGCGCAAATGTAGCTGCAGAGACGGACCTCCACCGGGGTCTCCACTCTCTCCCCTCTCGACCTCACTCACTGATCCGCGAGTCAATCTCTGAAGCAGTGTATACTGCTTATAACTATTCTTTTTTGCCATCACTCTTGCTATACTATCGCTAAACTAGATCTGATCCGTCTCAATGCTACAGTACGCTATCATCGCTCTGCTACAGCAGCACAGCACGCTCTCCAAAGACCCCACACTCCTCCTCCTCCTCTCCACTGACTTATGACCTCTCCTGTGGTGCAATACTGCATCCTACTGGTGGTGATTTATCATTACAGGTA